TGGCACTATGCAATTTTGTCTCAGTTTGACTGAAGATAAGTTTTTAGCCTTTTTGGCTGGTTGACTCAGTTTCATTCTATATATATACATATATGTAAGTACGTATAAGATTCAGTTTCCCTAATCAGTTAGATAGGCAGACTTATCTAGTCATGACATAGCTTCTGTCTTGAATTATTTAATATTTTTTTGTTTCTCTTTCAGTTTTTCTTTTGTTTCTATTCTCAAGTTTACTCCTCGTTTTGCAGACAGCTTGGGTAATTATAAAGCGTAATGCTGAATATAAGCCATTGCAGTTCTTGGCTTTTGCATTTGTTTATCGGATTTTTGAGAAACTGAAAGCCTTTGAAGCGCCTGTGTCACCAACATTTACAGTGAGTAATTAAAACATTTTGACTGGTTCTGTGTAAAACTTCATAAAACCGTATGCGGAAAAGATTCTAACCAATCAATCCATTTGAAATACTTTTCCAATCTATTGAGCATTCGTGTTGATGCTGATTGCTGCAGGAGGATGGTGAAGATGATGGGAGGGCAATGAGAATGGGAAAAAGACTTCTTCGATCTCTTGGATTAGTTTTTGGTTGTATGGCGGTGGCCTCTTTGGTAACTAGTTTTGTTGATTTCTTGCTTAATGATTAAGATTTCTAATAATTTTTATAAAAGAATTTGCTGTATATCATAAAAAACGATGTTGTTATTCATGCATCCGACAATATGGAGAATCTTTATCTTGTTCCATGTTGGGCAATGAGCGTTGATTTCTGTTTTAGCTCAATCTAACATGTGAATGTGCTACTGAACTCGTGTTAATCATAAATTAGGAAAAAAAAAAGGTATTTCCTGAGGATTGCTGAAAATCCTTCTAGGAAAATGTATTATGCATCAAAAGAAACGGGGTTGGGGTTAGTGCCTTCTGTAGTCAGAGTAATCACTTTGGATACCCTTGTGAGAAAATTCCAAAAGAATTTCTTATTACCATAAACTTCCTGAACCTCTACAGATATGCATGTCTCTCTGATTCAGCTAATGTAGTAGGAACTCATAATTCGGTTTGCTCCCTTAGGGTCTTACCATAAATATCCTGAACCTCTACAGATATGCATGTCTCTCTTATTTGGCTGATGTAGAAGTAAGGAACTCATTCTGTTCGCTTCCTTAGGATCTTCCAAGGGTCTGCAAGTCACATTTTTGGTGAAGCGTGATGGGGGTGTACATTTATCTAAATTTTCTAATTGGTATTATATGAAAGGACCCAATTAACAAAGCATCACCTGCATTGATCGTATCTTATCTCGGCATGAGATCAATTGGTGCTGTGGCCTGGATCAGGGGGATTCCGAGTGGGGTT